CTACTCTTACATGGACCTACAGAAATATGTATGTGTCGTATGCCGACATGCTCTAGATGGCAAACGCGTCATACTTTACTACTTACTAAATCCATTACAAAGTATTTACGTAGAAAATTGCTTTATATCTCTGCATATCTCTACGCCGACGTCATCGTCGTTGTCCTCCGCTCTAGCTGTGTCTGTAAAGCACTAGTGTATGTGTGACTACAGCAAGAAAAAAATTTAAGTACGTGGGAATAATAGTAAAGGAAAGAAGTAGGAACGCCAGTGGCTACATACGGACCATAAGATACCCGGTACTCGTGAACAAGTATCTAATTGATGGGTCGCCTGATTTATTCTTAACAAAGAACCATGGAAATGTGTGGTTTAATGTTTTACTTTATAGTAGTGTATTGATAATGTGAAAGAAAATGTATGTATAAAGTACTTTGATCTGCATTCACTTGCCCGAACTCAAAATACTCTCGTACTCCGACTAGTAATGGGAATAAAAACCTTTTTAGTGGTGTTGTACTCCCTTGGAGCAAGTCCTAAGGTAGTCCGTGTCTCTTCTCAGCAGCCACAGCTCTATCTGTCCCTCCAGCAGCCAGCAGCATCAGCAACAACCACAGCAGCAGGCAAAAAGGCTGTGTGCAGCAATTTATGTGATTTTTTCGTAAATGTCAGTGGCAAATAAGAAAATATTAAAATAGATTTGTGCACTCTGAACGCAAAAGACAATGGCCGCAAGAAGTGCTACACTGGAAATTAAAATTTCAATTCAAGAATATAAAAAGTGTAGAGTAAGAGACCTTGTTCTTCTAGCCACTATCTAATTCATTATTAACTCTTACATTCTTTGTATCTTGTGCTCTTTCTCCACAATTTCGAATCAGTTTCTGCAAGTATGCTGAAAATATTTCTCCCAGTCTAATCACACAAGAAGCTATCAGCGTACTGATGATTTCCATTGCCAAGATGTTGACGGTAAATCACAGCCGGCTTTCCTCTTCCCTACTCCCGTGCCCCAGCATAAAGCATACAGAAAGAAGGTCGTAAAAAAATGGGAAAGAGAAAAGTATGCCAGAAGACGGAGCAGCATGCTGGCAGCGGAATGTCTGAGTGTCCCTGTACCTATGAATGTGTGTGTGTAATTCATAGCGGATTTACTTGTGGGGGGGGAAATTATTCAGGCGCACTTGATGATGCATACAACAATGGAGCTGATCGTAATCAGGAACTCGTCATCGTCATCCTCATCATCATCATCAGCAGCAACAGACAAGTCTGAATGGTGTACAGCAAAACCATAATCGTATCTTTACATTTGTGCTAAGAGGTTCAAAGGAGATCTAGTCTGAAATATATTTTTCTATAATAATATTGCGATCTTAACTTACTAATGAACTTAATGTTAACTAACTTGTATGGCATCCCTAGCTACTAAGATACAACTGCAATTTAAAATGTTATTTTAACGAATTTCTTGCTGTTGTCATTGCACATTTCATTCGTGCTCCTGTTGAGCTTTGAGTTGTGTACTCTGTCTATTATAAATAACAAACCCCTAAGCACGCCACTCAAAATTCAATTAAATATCTCGAAGCTAAGTGCCGACAGACTTGGACAATCTTTTACGCTCTCGAGCCACAAATCCATGGGGGAGGCAAAGCCAGAAGTGTCCAGCCAGCAGACACAACAATTCATAAAGAACAACTAAAATGAGCTGAATTTAATAAGAAATGCTCTTCTACCCTTTCAGAGGCAAAGCCACTTAACAACAAATTTCAGGAAATCGTTTTCCTGCTGCTTATCACCAGCAGACAGAGCTTGTTGGCAATACGACAAGGCCCTAAATGAGAGCCCCAGAGTAGTCGGAGAAATGGACGCTTAAACTTTGCCCATTTTTTACACCAACACTGGCAAATTTGCAAGCTGCAGTGTTTATGAGGAGAAAAGGGACGGAACGCCTTGGACAAGTTTTGGGGAAAGCCATTTCGGCTGGGGGCCAGTTGCACATGTCTGCAGCGGCATACAAATGTCATTAGGGGCGGCAGCCCGCAAAAGAAAATGCTTTGTTGCCTACTCCTGTAGCATGACATCCAGTAGAGATGGTAACATGAATATGTCAGTGTCTTGTAGGGATTTAAAGAGCTAATTTCTAAGGAGTTTTGAAGATAAGTCGATAAGTTATTACATACGGATTTCCAGCTTAAGATTTTTTAATGAAAATATCGCCTCGATGTTGGTACGGAATTTATACTATGTTCATTGGTCTATTGAGCTGCTACTTTCTTATTCCTTCGTAGACTTTCGTAAAGCTCTTTCGTATATGCTAATTTGTGTTCGCTATCGTTAGGCTCAGGGGAGATCACGCTGCCATCACCATCGATGGGCATGGCCTCTGGCCAGACGGCGACGTTGTTTGAGCCATTTCGAACAGCTGTTTCTCCTGCTGGTTTTTTGTGTGCCTGTTAAGTATGCAGTTTTTCCCCCATAGCTATGGGGTCCCTAGTGCTCGGACCTCCAGTCCCCTGTGTGCGTGTTAAATGTGTGCGATTTGTCGTGGCGGCTCTTTAATGGCCACTGCCGCAAGAGTGGTAGTGCCCCGTTATGCTTATGGTTTTGCATGGCGGCACGTGTGGGGCATGCAGATGGCCAATGCATGGAAAGATTTCCATGGACCACAGCCAATGAACGGGGCTCCTCTCTCTCTCTCTCTATCACTCTCTCTCTCTCTCGGCTCTGGCCTGCGACGAGGAAAAACTGAAATTGAACAAATTCCTGACAAATTGGAATTTGGTTTAGTTTTTTTCGTCCGTTCTGCTTTCCGCTGAGCTTTCTCGGTCATTTCTTGTGCTCTGCCAGCGAAATTTGCTCACATTTCTCTTCTTTCTTTTTCCCCCCACCTTTACCGCTTCCTGCTATTGTTTCTACAACATTTCCATGCAAGATTTCCTCTCAAATATTCGCTTGGCCATTATGATTATTTCACCTCCCCAAGCCCCAAGCCCCAAGCCCCAAGCCCCACATTCCACTCGTCCTCCTTCTCGGCGAATTCCCTTGTTGAAAAATGACACTTTACAATACTTGTAATTTGTTTTTTCTCGTCGACGATGGTCAACTCATGAGAGTGCGGGCAGAATGGGATTTTTTTGTTGCTTTTTTTTTTTGCATTTCATCGCCCCCACAACTATGTATGAATGTGGGGCGTAGGAAAGTGTGCTTTGTGCCAAATTGTGGGTGTCAATGTGATTTGTTGCCGGCCCTGATGATGTGGGCGTGTCTGCAAATTTGTTGCCATTTCTTCAGATGTCGGAAAAGGCGGATGTTTATTTTTGTATACGCTAAAGTGGTTTTGATGTTCCCTTAAGAAGGGTCTCAGAGGAATTCATGTAACCTGTAAATACAGAGATTAGATCATTAAAATGTTTCACTCAATTTTTATTGAACTAAACAAAAGAACAAAAGCAGCCCTCTTTATTATTACCATTCGAGTATCAATCCAGTTGACCGCTTGACCGCAATTTAATCAGCGTGCAACCAAATCCTAATCCTGAACGTTGAACCCGAACCCGTAACCCCTAAAACCAACCGCAAAAACCAAATGTTTATTATTTTAGCATTCATATTAAATGCATTATTTATAGATTTCGGATAATTACAAAAAGTCACATATTCGACTAATTACATGAAAAGCCAAATATATCCAACAAGCAGCCAAATGTTAGTGGTTATCCATAGAAAAGCCTCCCCAAAGGTAGAAATGGTCTGGGAGTGGATAGGCCAACCCCCTAAATTATTAAAATTTGCAGCTCAACAATTTATGCATTTTTGTCATTGATTAAATCCAAACTCATTTGTCAGTAATGCAGTTTTGGGAACTACTTATATTTGTCGATTTTTGTTTTATAATCCCGCTGATGATTACACAACGAAAATTAAAAGTTGTAAGCAACTGTGGGGATTTATTTATAGATTTAAGCATTTACAATGACATCAAAACAAATATTATTCATTTGATATGCATGGAGCAATGTTAATTTCGCCATTTCAAGTACAGTCACGCCTGTGCATTGCAAAGCTCATACTCATATGGCAACTGTCATTGAGCGTCGTCTGGGTATCTCTTTTTCTCCATTCCACATTTTATTAATTAAAAACTCCAAAGTTTTCTCGAGAGCTGCTCAACTTTGTGAGCCGATCAATAAACCTTAATGAAATGCAATGGAAAAAATCACCAAAAGCATAAAGAGCACACACAAAAAAATGAACAACTTGCCACAAATTGTGGATCAGAGTGGAGAACCGGGAAGAACACGTTGCGACCGTTATTATGAACAGACAAGGGGCATTATTAAGTCACGTAGCATCGTGTGTAGCTGACATTTTCTTCAATTATCGTACTTTTAGTTTCCTTACGCGTTTCTGTTGACTTTTTCTACTTCTTGTCTTGCGCCCGCTGGCCGCATCCAAAGTCTGTCTGGAGGGTTAAATGAGTTGTGGCTTGGATACGTGGCCGGGTCAACTTGATGGAACTGATGTTACTTTAAGAGTGTTTCAGTTTCTTATATGAAGGTGCATTTATATAACTTTTTTTTAGTTGATCCATTAGAGTATTTCTAATGATATTCCTATCACGCTCCCTAAGCAGTTTCCCTTACTTGAGGTATAGTATGCTGCGAGCGGAAGGTTTCCATTTTATAATTACACAAAAATATTATATTTAAATATATTTACTTGAATTTTCAAGGTAAGATTTATCCAACAAAGATTTGTGGGCTGTCTGTATTGACTCGGAACCTGAAGTTAATTAAATATTTCTTTTATTTAAATTTTAAAAGTGAATTGAAATTGAATATTCCAAGTTCAAGTTGACAAATTTAATTTCTTCCCAAGTGCGACAGGCCATTAACAATTTAGGCTCGTGCGGGCGGTTATAAAACTAATAAACAATCTATGCCATAACGAGATGTCATTTATATTTTGGCCCAGTCCGTCAGTGCGCAACGAGCGCTCTGTGGGTGCGGATTGTCAACGGATTTGCTGGAATCGAATTGGATTTTACCTATTGGATTAAACAAGAGAGAGAACTCTGAAACATCAAAATCAAATTTATAGAACAACTTTTGGACGTGCTCGAACTTCAACCCCAACAGAATGCTGTTTCAACGCTCGCGCGCCGAGTACACGGCCGAGCAGATCTTCAAGATCAAACAACTCAAGCAGCTGGTGGAAAGTAAGCAACCAAAATGAATATAGAACAACATTCACGGAGTATTTGTTTTCAATTTAATGGCAGAGTCCGAGGAGCTTCAGGTGGGAACAGACGATGTATTTCTAACAAAATTCCTCCACTACACGCACTGGGATACAATCAAAGCCTACCAGGCGATCCATGCCTACTACGACTTCAAGCACAAGCACCCCAGCTGGGTGGCCAGGCACCCAATTGAGTATTATCGCAAGATCTTCTATGGCACGCACTGTCGCTTTGTGATGCCCCATGCGGATAAGAATGGACGTGTGCTGGTAATATTCAAGACCGTGGATGCTTTTCAGCAGTTCCCCGACTATCTGCAGGGTCTCATCGAAATGGACGATCTCATATTTGAGTCGCTGCTGATGCTGCCGCGTGTTCAGGAGAATGGCATAACAGTTATCTGTGATCTTCAAGGGTAAGTCAGGCTCACCTGAAGAACTAAACTGTGAGTGACAATTTTGTGTTGTTCCCTAGCACCACTCGGAACTTTCTGCGACAGTTTTCGCCAGCGTTTATGAAGGTCGTGAACGAGAAGAACGCCGTTCTGCCCTTTACCCAACGCATTGTCCACATCGTGCAGCGCGGCTTCCTCATGCATGTCACCTCCACGCTGTTCATGCCATTTATGAATAAGGAATTCAAGGAAAGGGTTAGTCTGACAATTTCAAATGGTATTACTAGACGTAAAGCCATTAATCTGTTGCAGATCTTCACACACGATGGCAAAAATCTAAGCAAATTGCGGGATATGGTGGGCTACGACTGCCTACCGGAGGAATATGGCGGTCCAGCCTGTAATGTTCTCGACACAAATCTGATGTATAATCATTTAAGCCAGAATGCAAATTATCTGGAAGAGCTGCAGCACTACGAAAAGAAAAAATTATAATTCACAATATGAATTGCATTTGGGGTTGAATTTTGAAAATGTAAAAAAAAAAAAAAAAAAAAAAAAGTGGAAGCTTGTTGTTTTTTTATTCGATCTGCTTGGTTTCATTTCTTGTTCCATGTTTTGTTAGCTTTTTATTCAATTTACACAAATGTTCACAAAGTAAACAAATCAGCACAGCTGCCTGAGTAGTGTAACCGTACGGAATGCAGTTTTCACCTCTGGTCACACTCCGCCGCTAGCACAGCAAAGTGCACATTTGACGCTTTTTAACCAAAACAAATCGCAAAATGTCAGAGAGTGAGAAGAACAATGTGCTCAACATTAACTATATCATCCAGCCTCTTATAGGCCCGAACTGTTCTGAATATGCAGTGGCGCATGCAAATGTGACTGTGACACCGTTTCGCACATTCGCGGAGGTTTCAATGCTGCCGGATATTGTGCAGAGCATGAGGAAATTGGGCCTGAACCGTGTGCAGCGGCTGCAGAGCTATGCCTGGCCGCATATACTCAATGGATCGGGACACGGCGTACTCATTGTGAGTGCCCCACGCAGCGGCCGCAAGATGGGATATGTGCCGCCCATGGCCCACCCTGGCCGCGAATCGAAGCGAGAGAGATATGGCGGATGACACATTGGATATCCCGCATGGAATGGGACCCATTGCCCTGATTCTAGTGCCAGTCTTGAGGCGAATGGAGCAGGTTGCAGCGCTATGCCATGCGCTCATGCCCAGGGAAGCGAACGTCGAGGACAAACGGACTATTATGGTGACGAAGGTGTTGCCCGTGCCATCGGAGTGCACTCCAGCTTTCATGGGTGCGTGGATCAGCCAAATAGTCATCTTGGTGGCCACACCCGCACGATTTGCCAACGCGTGCCAGTAAGGAGAAGGCATGCTAAAGCTGAATCAGCTGCAGATAGTGGTCTTCGATGACGTGGACCTCATGCAGAAAGAGGAACTGAGGCGCTGGCACAGCAGTATATTCCAAGCATGGCGACCAAACACAGTAGGCCAGAGGCACGCAAAGGCACACATCCGCATCCGCAATTGGTGATGGCGCCCAAGGACCACTTCATTCAGGCTAAAGTCGCTTTCTCCACTTCGCACACGATCTTTGCCACATGCATGGCGTCCATAGTCTACCTTACGACATTGAAGACTTTTAATATCCACTTGAACTTTTTCAAAGCACAGATCGAGGCCAAGATGAGCAAGCGATGTGAGCAAACCAAAAAGAAGATTTTGAAATTCTTCGAGGAGCTCATCAAGCTGGACGCACCGCCGAGCTCCCAAAAACCTCCAGAACAGCAACAGGAAATGATCACATGCGATTCAGTGTCAAATTGCCCCAAAGAGCATATCGCTGAGGAAACGTACAAGAGCCCAACCTCAAAGCAAGACACTCCCAAGCTGCCAGCCAGGTTGCAACGTCTAGTGGACCTCGATAAACACATACGCCAGGAGCGCATCCAGAAAGATACAGATTCCAAGGAATCGCAGAGATCAGCTGGACCGTATTGAGAGCATGGAAACTGACAGCAACATGCCAGCTTCCAAAAATGGCTATCAGATGTTGATTGAAGCCCCCCAGGCCCCAATGGGGAGAAGCAAGTAACGCTGCTCGTATGCTGGGTACCGCTTCACGTCCCGATGTCAAATACTTTCCGACCCTACACGCCCTCCATCTGCAGGTGACGCTGGCTGATGAAAAAGTGTCCTACCAGACATGTGTCCTAAACAGCACCTGGATTTTCTTCAAGGCCAACGCTGCAGAGGAATTAGGCTCTGCCTTCCCCAAGAGTTATGAGTTCTTTGTAAACCCACGCATGATATTCAAAGGCATGCAACATGCCATGAAGGGGCGCACAGTGTACATCGAATTGCAAAAGTTGCATCCAGGCTCCTACCCCAACCAATTTGTCCAATTAAAGTTCGTCCAAGCGAACTACGACAAGATCATAATCGAGGAGAAGTGGCAACAGCGCGAAAGAATCGTCCTCGAACAGTTGATGCGTCAACATGGATGGGGGGTACTAAAGCTTACAGAAAAAGCGGAAAGCAGCGAGGAAACCGTGACCGAGTCCGAGTCGGAGGATGGGGTGGAGCGACCCGAAGACTACAGAAGAATCGACATGAGTTAAAGTGTAAGTAGGAGCTATGAAACTTGTTTTATAATATTAACGCATTGTTTTTTTGTATAATTGCAGTATTAACTCATCATTAATCATGCACTTGGATGGTGAATGTGAGCGGCATTTAAAGAAGCCCTGTAAAAGATTCAAGAGCAGACTGCAGAATGTGAAATCTATTTTACTATTATTTATTATGTATTAAATATGACAGCGAACTTGAAAGCTATGCTGTAACTACTCAAATCTTAACTTTCTTTTATTCCTCGATTTTGACCTTCTGCTTAATATTACTGACTACCCAGAACTCTTATGACTAAAAAGATAATTTTATCGGATAGATTCAAAACTTTTCTGTAATGGTTGCTAATTTTATGGACTCTCTTTTAATGTGTTTTGTATGAAATATGGTTTAAACAAACAGGGCCAATGCATAATGAGACCGAGAAATAGTATATTTCATACATTTTTATAACGTTGCAGTATTTTTCTCACGGTCCGTATTATTTATCAATAAATCCGCTGTCACACTGTTGTTGTGAAATTGCGCCTTTGAAGAGTTCTGAATTTCTGTTAATAAACCAAGACAATGGCCACTAACAAGGTAGAAATTAGCTTAGACCTCTTGCTTTCTGACATTACATTTAATATGTTTCCTAGGAATGCCTAGTTATTGTGCTGGACATACGGAACTGCGCTGCCGAAGAGTTTAAACTGAAGTCTGTAAAATGTGCGGCCGAAATAGTGAAGGATAAGGTGGGTGCTTTCATTCGGTTTACCGGGTCTTGAATTGTTATTAAACGTTAGTTATTATCTCCTACAGATTGTGTGCAGCAGCAAGGACCATGTTTCGTTTGTACTGGTGGGCAGTGACAGTGCTTATAACGATAACAAATGCCCGAATGTGACGTACTTCAAGGAGGGGGTTTTGCAGCTCTGCAGCTGGCAACTGTTGCTGGATCTCTTTACATTTGTGAATGCAACCGCCTGCGAGCAAGGCGAATGGCTGGACGGAATAAAGGTGGCCCTAGACATGCAGGACAAAGCCTTGGTGTGAGTTTAACTGCTTCCCATTTATGCTTTCCACTCATAAATTCAATACCTGATCTCTGATAGATTTAAGCCCGCGAGGCAGCGCATACTTCTGCTGTTTGACTTCAATTCAGTGCCACAGAACTACGGCGAGTTCAATTCAATCACCGACACGCTACTGAACTCTGGCATCGAATTAATTGTTGGGTGAGAACAGTTTTTGGACATTTTGGCTTATTAAGTACCATTTTTGTCCATAGATCCCACAACATTGCTTATATAGACAACGCAGAGAGCGGTGACCCTCAGGCTATTTTCAATTTCTCGCGAAAATGCACTCCCGAGGAGCTGGAGAACCAAAAGTATGCGATGAGTCTCGTTCCCCGCTGCAATGCCACGCTCTGCAGCTTCAAGGAGACTCTGCAAACGGTCTTCAGGGTGACCAACAGACGGCCGTGGTCGTGGAACGCTAAGCTGTACATCGGGAGCAAAATCAGCATCAACGTACAGGGGGTGATTGCCATGAAGAACCAAACGCCCGTGAAGCTACAGCGGGTCTGGGCCGATGCTGATGAGCAGGTTTCGCGTGAGACGCGCCATTTCATCAAGGGCGCCGAGGTGACGCCCCTGCCCGAGGACCTTATGACCGGCTACATGCTGGGCGGCACAGCTGTGCCCTATGATGATGCTCTGATCGAGCCAAAAGCGCCGCATCCGCCAGGTCTGCACTTTTTTGGATTCATCAAGCGAGAATCGGTGCCGGATGAGTACTTCTGTGGGGACTCGTTGTACCTGCTGGTCCACCAGAAGGGGAGCACAGCATCGGCCAACAAACTGGATGCTCTGGTTAGGGCTCTGGACAGCAGCAAGCATGCGATGCTCTGCTGGAAGATCTACAGCCCCAAGTTGAACACCCCGAAGATGGTTATTCTGCTGCCGAAATTGCCGGACGACAACCATCCGGCGACACTGTACATGCTGGAGCTCTCCTACACGTCACAGCATCACTTCTGGGACTTTCCGTCGCTGCGCACGGCCAAGTCGGAGTGTAGCGACGAGCAACTGGAGGCCATTGACAGGCTGATCGACAGCACCAACTTGGAGTGCAGCCTCAACGACACCCAACAGCCGCGACAGTGGCGCCAGAACGATCTGCTGCCCTTTGACAGTCTGCCCAGCATCTTTGAGCAGAACGTGATGGATGTCCTGGAGCGGAGGGTGATCAAGGATCGGCAGAATGAAGAGCAGTTCAAGGAAATGCTGAAGGACAAGAACTTTGTCGATGTCTTCTGGAGTGTGCCCGAGCAGCTCGAAGAGAAATCAAAGCAAGCAGCGGCCACCGTCAAGAAGCTCTTCCCACTAAAGCAAAGCAGAGCCTGGCTGGAGAAGCTGCAGGCCAAGGAGCGGGCCGAGAATGCTCTGCCCATCAAGGCGGAGCCCCAAGAGGAGGAGGAAATTCCCATTCCAGCGGACGGCGTGGGCTTGCTCACACCCGTCGAGGACTACACGCGCCTCATGACAAACGTTCGCACCATCAGCAACGTCACACGAAGGGATGCCCAGGTTCAGGCACTGTCCGCACAGGTTCGTGTGGTCATTTTTACACTTCTCGAGCGGAAAAAGCTCAATCTGGAGCAGCTGGGCGAGCTCATATCGCAGTACCGAGACACCTGTCACGACTTCAATGCGTTCCTGGAGTACGAGAGATTTGCTGACGAGCTGAAGGAGATTGCTCTGGCAAAGGGACTGAAGGAGTTCTGGCAGGAGGTCATGCAGGCCAAGCAGCTGGGTCGCTTGTTGCTGGGCGAGCAGTCTCTACACGAGAAAGAAACCCTCAAGGCATATTACACCATTGATGAATGGCAGGCGGCAGATCAGGCGGCGTCTGGAGATGCATAAAGGTTTCTTTTCTTTGGGTTTCCCAATTTTAAATGTTTTAATTAATTTCAAAATACATTTACACTTACACAAACGCGCACAGAATGTTCTTGGTGGTTGAGTGGTGTGGGGGAATGAGCAGATAATTATTTAAATGAACGAAATGATAGCGTGTACAAATAATTTAACAAGCCGCAAAATGCTTAAGGAACAATTGTGAATTTAATAATAAACAATGCACATGATGCACGTGTGTGTGTGTGTGTGTGTGTGGGGCTGTTTGTTCCATATTTAAATACGTTTACGAGACGACTACGAGTACGAATTTCGTTTTTGCATTATTAACACATTGAGAGGAGGAAAAAAACATTTGGCATGGCTGCAACCCACTTGGGCCAGCAAGCAGAGACGCCATAAAGACCATAAGTAATGCATCCAAGATGGTCGCTGCTCCTCTATTCGATTAGTCAATGTTCAGCGAGGACATTAGCTCTTCCACCCTGTGGGACAAACAACGGAAAAATAATACAAATTAACAGTTGGATGGCACTCGCTAATGGCTTCAGATAAGATACGAATTTTTACACTTGCACGCACGTGATATCTAAGTCCTGGAAGGCCACGCCCAGCCAGGCCACCACCAGGCAGTAATGCTGGAAGAGCTGCAGCAGCAGCTCACCCTCGTCGAGCATCTCCAGGCGCTCGATGCGCTGCCGTTCGGCCGAGGATATGCTCTCGTACACCTGCACCATGTCCCAGGCACGTGCACCGCTCCAGCCGCACTCCTTGAAGCGCTGATTTTGCGTCTCCAGCGACAGGCAGGACTCGACACCGGCCAGACTGCAGCCACGAATACGCAGATTGTTGAGCATCACCTCGCCAAAGCGATCGTTCATATTGACCTGCGAAAGATAATTGAATTTTGAAATTTCCTGTGAAAATGGACTCGCGCTAACCTGCTCGTAGTTGACAAAGACGGCGGCCTGAAACTTTTGCGCTATCCACTTGAGGAGATTGCGACAATTCTGTGCCTCGATGTAGACCAGCACACACTCGGCCAGGAAGATGGTGGGCAGCGTGTAGTCCACCTCGGCCTGCTGCAGCTTGTTGTCCACCTCGTCGAGATTGCGCAGATCGACGCCCATCAGATGGTAGCTGGGGCCATGCAGATCGGTGGGACTGAGACGCACCTCGCCGTCCTCATCGTGGATCTTGGCCAGCAGCGCCTTGTTGCGTTTGATTGTGTAGCATTTGCGCGCCGTTACCGTGGGAAAGTCCAGCTCGATGAAGTTCTTCACTTGGTGCGCCGTGTCCCTCAGGCGAAAGTAGAGTGTGTCGAAGCCACAGCCCAGATTAATGATCTGGCAGTTTCCAGAGGTTTTCTGCAAGTGAAACGCGAGTGTTGAGTGCAAGGCCAACAGTCAAAGTCGGGGCGTGGACATGGTACAGGGACATGCGCAGCTCTTCTGGCCCTGACAACGTGCAACAGGATGCGGAATTGCCATGGCACTTGACCTTAACACGCGCCAGACAGTTGGGCGCCGTGCCTCAGAGCCACACCACACACCACACCCCTGCGCATGTCATGTTATTTATAGCCGCATTTAAGGCTTATGCTAGGCAACGCTGCATGCTGCATGCTGCATGCAAAAGTGCAGCCAAGCCACTGACCTTCAGGAATTTCTCCACGCACATCTCGACGCCCTTGACGCGGGCAAAGTAGCCACGGTTTATCTCCGGTGCCTTACGCTCCTGATTACGCACAAAGTAACCAATGTAGTCGTCTTTCCAGTAGCCTAAGCGGACGGCACACCGCTTGCAATCGCTGGCATCGTCGTTGGTCGCTATCACCGCCTCGTCGCATGGGTGAAATTTGTGTGTGGTATTGTTGCCAGCGGCTGTAACACCGCCCGTCGATGGCGGCTCCATTGCTCTCCTGGCCCTGTTACACTTTTGCTGCCAGTAAACACTTGTTTTGCTACAATTTAGCTTCAAATCTCGGGTTCAGTTCAATTTTTCGTTCGCCTCGAAAACAGCTGATTGGTTCTTCATCTGGAGAGTGTGACCGCAGAATAATCAATCAAATATACCGACAGACCCACGGAAATATTCCGAAATAGACGATTTCATTATAAAAATATACCTAAGTATACCGTAATCTAAAATATTTGCCTGGACTTTGATTTTCTGTTTAATTTTACCAGCTAGTTGGAACTCTCAGCTTTAAAATTGTAATTTTATTTGAAACATCATTCAATTCTCCATAAGATTTTCTAATTTTCATGACTTATCTTTTATTGGGTTGATTGCAAAATAAGGTTAAAACTAAAAAGGTCAACCAAAATAATAGCATTTAAAGTTACTTGCTTGGGAATGGAATGTAACGTCGTTTGAAAATTTGTTGCCGACCAACTGATAGGTAAAGTATGGTTATTTGTGTACCCCATTTGCTATAATTAACATTAAAATTCAGTTTTACCAGCTTTTGATATTTTATATTACCAATATATAGGCTGCGATCAAATATTAGGCTCCGTGCACCCTTCCCAAAGGAACGTTGGGATTTTTTAAAAGATGTGAAACGCCTGTTCACACTGGCACCAAAGAACGCTGATGGTTTGAGTGCTGCCAGATGTGCGCAATGGTAGATACCACAGCATCGATGGCGGACTATTTTGAATACATTTCTCAGCATTTAAATCTATCCCTGGCGTACTACAGATTATGCCCGATTTCTAAACAAATTCTTATTGTATTAAGCAGTATCCTGCTTAAAAATAATTGTAACATCATTTTACAGTTTAGTTGCAACCTCCATAATAATTTCTAAGTCATTTCAGACGGACTGAGTGTAAAACCTTGAACAAAACTTAGTGTTAACTGCCGTCTTCAAGTAGATACTTATATGAATTTTAAGCATAATTGACTTAAGCACTTCATTAATAATGAAGGGGTCAGAATTATAAACAGAGCGTGTCGATCGTCAAGTGGTTTAATTGCTTCCCGCATCTCTGACATCGGAAGCATCGCCTCCGTTGCCGTCCCGGTCTTCTTCGTTTATAATTACAATTAGCAGCTACGCCCAACAACAGACCGAACGACCGCACTCAATAGGTTGGGGTCAAAATGTGAACTGATCTTTAATTGTCTGCCAGCGTCGCGTCTGCACGCTGACTCGAACAACACATGAATCACGATGCAACGTCCCGATGATTTGAAAATGCTCGTTAAATAGAAATTTATTAGAAATTATGCAAAATGTGATTCGGTTTTGTCATGCTAAAATCTCTCATTACAGGCAAAAGGCAGTGAGCAATCCGGATGTAGTCTTTCAATGCGAATTGAAGGCAATAAGTCAGTAGCCAGCTTATGCTTATCAGCAGGTCTGTGGCAATGGGATACAAATATTACAGCATTTATTTGTTAGTTTTTTGGGCGTAGACCAATTGCACACATGTCTGGCTACACAATCAATCAATAAATAAGTAACTAACTTAATTGTAACATTACATCATTGAAATACCAAATAAAAGTAAATAAAATAATTAAATTGGTTGAATCAAATTCAAATTTCCCGCCTCCAAACATTAAATGTGTTGCGACCGCATGGTATGAATATATTAGGTGGAGTGCACATAGAGCTATAGCGAGAGCGATATTAACGCAAATTTATTTTTAATTTCTGACCTGGTTTATCTAGTAGGGCTATGCTAAATTTATTCAATTACATTTCAGTAACTGTTGATGTTGTACCAAACCATTCATATTTTTTGTGCACCTCTTTAGTGGGTTAATTTGATAAGCACCAAAAATCGAGCTAAATATCGATAGCCCCCTTTCAGCTCTATTTCAAAATTCTCCAATTGTTCAAGCTGCGCGGTTGTGTTGCGCGCGTGAGTTTTATTATTTTTGAAATTTCTAAAAATTGCACAACAAAAAGTAAAGCGAAATCAAGAGCTAAAATCACTCGGTGAGTGCAGCTTCGAGCCGCGCATTCAGTCCAAATTCGAATGGGAGAGCGGTCGGTGGTTGCAAGCCCAAGCTGCGCGCGTTTCGTTGTACCTCCATCGCACTCAGGTGTGTGTCGTTCGTGTGAGTCAACCCGAATGAGTTGTTGGTAACAGCAAGTTAAAGCGTGTGTTTGTGTGTGTGAGTGTTAACAACGCCGCAACGTCAGAGAGCTGCGAGTGTTCCTGTGTGTGTGCGAGAGAGTAAGACTGCTGCTTCTTTGCTCGTTTTGACGGCATTACGTTTGGCTGACTCTGGCTACCTGGACGGACCCTACGCGAGTGGAAATATCTCTGACTCAAAACGGTCATTTCGTTACGTTTTTTCTTCTTTCTTGTTTGCTGTAGTTTTGAGCATTACTTTTTTACCTGTCCCCCCGCTGCCCCCACCTGCCGTCACGTTCGGGGCGTTGGCTATGAAAGTTTTCGTGGTTTTTGTGTGATTTTGTGTGAAATATTTGGCTGGACATGCTAGAAAATCGCGATTAGATAGTGAAAACAATCGGCAGCCAGCAACAAGTTTCCACGGCAACGTCATCAAGCGTCAATTGGAGCATAACTGTAAGGAGAAGTGAGATTAAGGTAGCGCACAGCCGCAGCCACAGCACAGCAACAGCAACAACAATATCAATATCAGTGGGCCAACACACACACACACACGCACGCAAACACCGTACAGTGCACACACACACACACACACACACGTACACCTGCGCTTCACTTTCAGCGTTATCGGTGCGTTCCACGGGTTTTGTTTGCTTTGGCGATTGCGAAAAAGGCAAAACTACTGCAAGTGATTCACCCACAGAAACAACAACAACAACAACCACCTTAGAACAACAAATTCGTTTGCTTGCGACATGAAATTTGATATGAAAACTCCCGCAAGTCTCATTTGAGAAATACAAAACAAAAACAATCGGGCGACTGACACTTTGGGCAGGCGTTTCTGCAGGCGTTTGCACTTCCGAAAATTTAATAAGAATCTTCTTTCAACACTTTCGGGGTTGAGTTGAGTAACCGAGCAGCGCCGT